AAATTATGCAAATCAAAGATTCGGATAAAAGGTATAAACAAATCGACAACTACGCCCAGAACCAGGCTAAAAAATGGCTCAGAAAACACATAAACGAATTAAATGGGATTACGTCCGCTATGATGCGCGCTCGTGGATACGCATACAAACGTGACTATAAAAATGCTATCAAAATAGCGAGAACTTTATTACACCAGAAGATAGGTGACGCATACGAGATCTTTCATGGTAATTGGTTAAACTTCGAGGATTTCAAGATGAGCGATCCCGTTAACAGGTTATGGGAAAAGTTAATACAGAGTTTGCCACCGATGAAGGTGTCTTAGTGGACAATGAGACTCACGGAGGGGAAAAAAATTATGTCCGAAATGACTTTGGAAACGATGAAATGTTGGTATTTTTTGACTTTATTTATTTACGTATCGAGGGAGAATGCGAGAAACCGTGCAAAGACCCTTTCGAAAATAAAAATTCATTGGTATTTTTAGTTTTACATTGGCGACCGCAATATTTTCAAATGATCTTGTTAACATAATTGTTTTTTCTCGTTCTTTGCTAATTTGATTTACTCTGTAAAGTTTCCCGTGAGTAATGGTATGGACATTCTTGACTTTATCACGGATAGGGAGCGTGGACTTGGCCATAATTGATTTGTATGCTCTGCCAGCAAATGGTCCAAAATAGTCCTTAAAAAATTTTCCATCTACAATCCCAGAGCGTTTGGGAAGTTCGACATTGCAATTTTCTGCAGTCGTAAAGAGGATGAAAAAATCATTTTTTGATGCAGATTTTTTACGTTCTTCTTCGTATACCATTTGACTGATCGGTTTTTGTCTTTGTTTGTATTGATGAATTTCGTTCGAACTCTCGGTACCCGGCTGATCTAATGAAAGAAAGGCATCCCCAGATGGCGAAGACGGAGCATTAATAATACAATGTTTAAATCTCCGGACATCAACCGTAGAATGATAGCAATCAACATTCCATTCTATTGCAGTAAGATTTTCAGATTTTGTATCTGTCTGGTTTCTAGCAATCTCAAGTTGCAGATTGTGATTTTTAAATTGGATGTCACCATTCAAACGCGCTCCCGCGTAAACCTCCGAGATCCTTGTTAACTCATCTTCTTCAATCACAGCTGATTTTAGGCAACGAAATGACGCGACAAATTTTTCAAAACTCTGCCATGACTTTGCTTGCAATGACAACACAGGATCAATAAGCGCTTTTTGTTCTCCATAATCAGCAAATTGCCAATCTCGAAGTATTGAATCTGTTTGGCTATTAGATATCTCTACAAATATTCAGAGCCAGACGTACGGTGCAGTGAGGTATCCCATTGGACTATCCTTATTTATTTGTTCGAATCGAATCAATCCACTCCCAGCAAATTGGTCCGGTGTTTTGTTGGTTTTAGGAACATTTTTATATAAATCTAAGAGACTCCGAGTCAATATTGCTCGTGCAACGGGCCTGGCGTCGCGCATGGAACCAAAAATAGCATCACGATATCTTTCAGTAAGTTTGAGACGCAGGTCATTCATCAAAGTATCGAGGTTGCATTCTTTAATATTACGACCGGCCAAGCAATCATTCAGAGCTTCTAGAGCCCTTCCGTGCCCTCCACAGTCTTCCACAAGAGTCTTAGTAATCTCATCATTTCCAAAGACGGGAACCAAGCT